TTTTTTTTTTTTTTTTTTTTTTTTTTTTTTTTTTAAACCCACTGGAATGATTTTTTTTTCGTCCTTGATCAGGTTGGCCGAAATAGGTCTTCCTTATTGGCTTCCCTGTTTACTCCTTCCTGTAAGCAGGTACTGCTACAAATTCCCAACCCAAGAAGCGCCCGTTTTGGCTTTCCCGCTGGACGCAGTTCTGGTACGCCCCTGTCACTTCATTCATCGGCAATGTTGTGACGTACTTCCTCTTCCTGTTTCTATACGCCTACGTGCTCTTGGTCGACTTCAAGCCACCTCCGCCTGAAGGCCCTGCCGTTTCTGAGTATCTGCTGTATTTCTGGGTGTTCACGATCGTCTGCGAGGAGATTCGAGAGGTAGATGCTGCATTTCTCAAATCACTTCCTGGTTTTCCTTGTACAACATATCAAACAAGTGATACAAAGAAAGAATTTTCAGTCAAGTATAATGATTCATTTTCTTTGTTCTCTTTCACTCCCAGACATTCATTGTGGGCAGTAAGACGTTTTGTCAGAGGTTGATGCTGTATATTCAGGATGTTTGGAATAAGTTTGATGTTCTTGCCATCTCCCTCTTTATCGCTGGATTGTGCTGCAGGTAATGCTTGACAGTCCACAAAAATATTTAGAAACTGTTTTCAATGTTTTGACGATAATAAGAAATATTATCAAATCAGCAGCAAATCAGTATATTAGAATAATTTCTGAAGGATCACATGACATTGAAGACTAAAATAAAGATGCTGAAACAATATTCTTGTGTACTTTTATGCCCGTCTCAGGATGTTCAGTTGGTCGTACAACACGGGACGCGATATACTGTGTATGGACTACATGGTCTTCACGCTCCGACTCGTCCACATTTTTGCCATTCACAGACAGTTGGGTCCCAAAATCATCATACTTGGCAAAATGGTGAGACAATCAGAGAGGTGATCAAAGTGATAATGAAGCTCTATAGATGGCATCCAGCAAAAAGCATTATGCATGCAATGCATTACCATAAAATCAAGACCTTTTCAAGCAATCGTCCTGAAAAATATAGATTCATTTCATGCTTTTCACATCTCACTCCTCTTTATATTTCTTTTGAATGAACTACAGATAAAGGATGCGTTCTTCTTCTTATTCTTCCTGGGGGTGTGGCTGAGTGCGTATGGAGTGGCCAATCAAGCTCTATTATACCAATACGACCCAAGCCCTGATAGAGCGTTTCGAAAAGACTAAAATAAAGATGCTGAAACAATATTCTTGTGTACTTTTATGCCCGTCTCAGGATGTTCAGTTGGTCGTACAACACGGGACGCGATATACTGTGTATGGACTACATGGTCTTCACGCTCCGACTCATCCACATTTTTGCCATTCACAGACAGTTGGGTCCCAAAATCATCATACTTGGCAAAATGGTGAGACAATCAGAGAGGTGATCAAAGTGATAATGAAGCTCTATAGATGGCATCCAGCAAAAAGCATTATGCATGCAATGCATTACCATAAAATCAAGACCTTTTCAAGCAATCGTCCTGAAAAATATAGATTAATTTCATGCTTTTAAAAGCCATCCAAGCCTAAACGACTTCAATACCACTAAGATTCCATTGTGTCAACCGTTTACAGATAAAAAATGCATAACATTAGATTGAAACAACAATTGGAGACCTTTCACATCTCACTCCTCTTTATATTTCTTTTGAATGAACTACAGATAAAGGATGCATTCTTCTTCTTATTCTTCCTGGGGGTGTGGCTGAGTGCGTATGGAGTGGCCAATCAAGCTCTATTATACCAATACGACCCAAGCCCTGAAAGAGCGTTTCGACGAGTCTTGTACAGACCATATTTGCATATATTTGGACAGATTCCTGTGGAAGAAATAGACCGTATGTTCACTTCTGATTTACACTTAAAGGAATAGTTCACCTAAAAATTTAAATTTGCTGAAAACGTGCCGACCCAAAATGTAGATGAGTTTGTTTCTTCACTGAAACCGATTTGGAGAATGGATCCAATGGATCCTCTGCAGTGAATGCGTGCCGTCAGAATGAGAGTCCAAGCAGCTGATAAAAACATCACAATATTAAACAAGTAAGCCACACTACTCCAGTCCATCAATTAACATCTTGTGAAGCAAAAAGCTGCATGTTTGTAATGAACAAATCCATCATTAGGGTGTTTTATCTGTACACCGTTGTTTCTGGGCAAAATACGAGTCCATAATTCATAACAGTGCTTCCTCCAGTGAAAATGTCCCCTGTTGTCCTTTAACATCAAAATTCACCAACATATTTGTTTAGAACCGCTTTGGACTGTTTTTGCTTTTAAACAGTTCTTGAACTGTACATATGTGGTTGAAACAAGATTACCTTTTCACTGGAGAAATTGATATTGTGGATAGAGGACTCATTTAAGCTGAAAGCACGTTAAACGGTAAAAACGCCTTAAGTGGTAAAAGAAAGTTGAAACTTCTCTCCACTGCAATTGTTTTGACAGATGTGTTTAGCACGTGCTACCAAACCAAAGCAAGTTATTCCGACAAGCTGCTGATCCGCAAGTCTAATCTGTGGGGTGACGCCACCTGTCTGAAGATGGCCATGGCCACTGATGCCCGTTATTTCTTCAGCAATGATGGAGTACAGGTCTGTCGGCATGCAGATAGTCACGGTTTCGTTTGAAATAAGGTGAGTGTTTTTCATAAACAGTCTTTTTTTAGTCCCTGCTGTCTAAGATATGGTGGGGTGACATGGAAAGAGGAACAGAGCTCTGGAAACTCGCGCTGACGATGATCATTCCTCCTCTCGTCTACACCAACCTCATCGATTTCAAGTCAGAAAAGTAATGTAAATTTCCTCAGTTTCCTTGCATCTTTCCTTACATTATCACTGTGCTCCACTTTTTTGCATTTACCATAATGACCTGTTTAACCCTGCTAAAATTAACTTATTGAGAAGTTACTTACCTGTCAAAACTTCTCAAACCCATCTTTTAAAATATAAAAAACTTCATACTATATATATATATATTTAAAAAAAAAAAAATATATATATATATCATCATGCCAATTTGGTAAGTTTTATATGACAGGATAGAAGACGATACAAATCAACTAATGCCACAAATCATAACAGAATTCATTAAATCTATTGCTAATATTTGCACAAATTTGACCCAAACAGAACCAGAGTATACAACAGTGAAGGCGATCACGAGGACTCAAATAACATCAGGTGACCAACAAAAGGTCTTTTTTTTTTTTTTTTTTTTTAAACCCACTGGAATGATTTTTTTTTCGTCCTTGATCAGGTTGGCCGAAATAGGTCTTCCTTATTGGCTTCCCTGTTTACTCCTTCCTGTAAGCAGGTACTGCTACAAATTCCCAACCCAAGAAGCGCCCGTTTTGGCTTTCCCGCTGGACGCAGTTCTGGTACGCCCCTGTCACTTCATTCATCGGCAATGTTGTGACGTACTTCCTCTTCCTGTTTCTATACGCCTACGTGCTCTTGGTCGACTTCAAGCCACCTCCGCCTGAAGGCCCTGCCGTTTCTGAGTATCTGCTGTATTTCTGGGTGTTCACGATCGTCTGCGAGGAGATTCGAGAGGTAGATGCTGCATTTCTCAAATCACTTCCTGGTTTTCCTTGTACAACATATCAAACAAGTGATACAAAGAAAGAATTTTCAGTCAAGTATAATGATTCATTTTCTTTGTTCTCTTTCACTCCCAGACATTCATTGTGGGCAGTAAGACGTTTTGTCAGAGGTTGATGCTGTATATTCAGGATGTTTGGAATAAGTTTGATGTTCTTGCCATCTCCCTCTTTATCGCTGGATTGTGCTGCAGGTAATGCTTGACAGTCCACAAAAATATTTAGAAACTGTTTTCAATGTTTTGACGATAATAAGAAATATTATCAAATCAGTATATTAGAATAATTTCTGAAGGATCACATGACATTGAAGACTAAAATAAAGATGCTGAAACAATATTCTTGTGTACTTTTATGCCCGTCTCAGGATGTTCAGTTGGTCGTACAACACGGGACGCGATATACTGTGTATGGACTACATGGTCTTCACGCTCCGACTCATCCACATTTTTGCCATTCACAGACAGTTGGGTCCCAAAATCATCATACTTGGCAAAATGGTGAGACAATCAGAGAGGTGATCAAAGTGATAATGAAGCTCTATAGATGGCATCCAGCAAAAAGCATTATGCATGCAATGCATTACCATAAAATCAAGACCTTTTCAAGCAATCGTCCTGAAAAATATAGATTAATTTCATGCTTTTAAAAGCCATCCAAGCCTAAACGACTTCAATACCACTAAGATTCCATTGTGTCAACCGTTTACAGATAAAAAATGCATAACATTAGATTGATTTCATGCTTTCATGCTTTTCACATCTCACTCCTCTTTATATTTCTTTTGAATGAACTACAGATAAAGGATGCGTTCTTTCTTCCTGGGGCCAATCAAGCTCTATTATACCAATACGACCCAAGCCCTGAAAGAGCGTTTCGACGAGTCTTGTACAGACCATATTTGCATATATTTGGACAGATTCCTGTGGAAGAAATAGACCGTATGTTCACTTCTGATTTACACTTAAAGGAATAGTTCACCTAAAAATTTAAATTTGCTGAAAACGTGCCGACCCAAAATGTAGATGAGTTTGTTTCTTCACTGAAACCGATTTGGAGAATGGATCCAATGGATCCTCTGCAGTGAATGCGTGCCGTCAGAATGAGAGTCCAAGCAGCTGATAAAAACATCACAATATTAAACAAGTAAGCCACACTACTCCAGTCCATCAATTAACATCTTGTGAAGCAAAAAGCTGCATGTTTGTAATGAACAAATCCATCATTAGGGTGTTTTATCTGTACACCGTTGTTTCTGGGCAAAATACGAGTCCATAATTCATAACAGTGCTTCCTCCAGTGAAAATGTCCCCTGTTGTCCTTTAACATCAAAATTCACCAACATATTTGTTTAGAACCGCTTTGGACTGTTTTTGCTTTTAAACAGTTCTTGAACTGTACATATGTGGTTGAAACAAGATTACCTTTTCACTGGAGAAATTGATATTGTGGATAGAGGACTCATTTAAGCTGAAAGCACGTTAAACGGTAAAAACGCCTTAATGATTGATTTGTTTCTTACAAACACATAGCTTTTCACTTCACAAAATGTTAATTGATGGACTGGAGTGGTGTGGATTACCTGTGGATTATTGTGATGTTTTTATCAGCTGGTTGGACTCTCATTCTGACGGCACCCATTCACTGCAGAGGATCCATTGGTGAGCAGAAGTGAAGTAGTGCTAAATTTCTCCAAATCTGTTCTGATGAAGAAACAAACTCATCTTCATCTTGAATGGCTTGAGGATGAGTAAATTTTCAACAAATTTTCATTTTAGGGTAAACTATTCCTTTAAATTGAAACTTTCTGTTAACATCCATTGACTATATTGTATCTGTGTGTGTTAAGCTGGCAAGTATTGGGATAGAGACTGTACAGATAATCTGACACTGATTAATGAAGGGAAAGAGCCATGTAGAGACACCAGCCACAACTGGCTTGTGGTCATTTTGCTGGTCATATTCCTACTAGTCACCAACATCCTACTAGTCAACCTGCTCATCGCCACATTCAGGTATTTGTTTGTCTAGTCATCCATCTGCTGTATGTAGCCCTCAAATTATCCATCCATCCATGTATTTCTATTCTCTTTGTGTCTGTTTCTGTAGCTACACCTTCTCTAAGGTTCAGGAGCACAGCGACACATACTGGAAGTTTCAGCGGTATAATCTGATAGTGGAGTATCATTCCCGTCCTACTCTCGCTCCACCCTTCATCATCCTATCCCACATCAACCTCTTAATCAAAAGAAACCTACGCAAAGTGCCATCCACCAAAATCCACCGATTTGGTAAAGTTAGAAATGAACTGCAGTTCAAGCAGACTTGTTGAAGATGAAATGTGACGTAAAGTAAAATTTGTGCATTTGACTTTTATAACAGCACTGCAGTTGAAGGGTAGAGATGCTAACAAGCTGGTGAAATGGGAGACCTTCCAGAAGGAGAACTTTCTGGCTCTCGAGAGCAAAAAACGAAGAGGGACTGACTCTGAGAGGCTAAAGCGCATGACTGCTAAGTGAGTCAAACAACCTCCTGAAATAAGAATTTGGTGTAATTAGTAATACACAGCATGCACGATACAAGGAAATGGTCGGTAACATCATCACTTTGAGGTACGATATCTATATCAGAAAGATCAATTCCATGCGATATAATTAAATCTAGCGTATGATTAAAACGATGAGTGGGCCCGGTGACGTTTTGCTTGACTCCAAAAGAGTTTATTAGGTCAGTAAACGCAAGTTCTAATACATCATTTTTTATTATCAACGTGAATGTTAAAATCTCCGACAAAACTATTTATTTTGCATATCTGACAGTGTAACATTAAGCAGAAGTATTTTGAATGAGTTAAACCTGTATCCTGTCTTCTCAGTAACATTGAGAATGTCACTATATATTGTTGCAACACCGCCGCCACGACCAGTCTGACGGGGCTCATGCTTATAACAGTAGCTTGGTGGAGTAGACTCATTTAGACCAATATAATCATTAGGTTTTAGCCAGGTTTCAGTCAAGCAGAGTACATCAAAACTATTTTCTGTGATCATTTCATTTACAATAACTGCTTTGGGTGAGAGTGATCTAATGTTTAGGAGCCCAAACTTTAACAGTTGTTTTTGTTCATTTATTTGACATTTTTCTGGTTTAATCACGATCAGATTTTTTTCATGTGTGAAAATAGTGTACAGCATCGGGCTGAGTACACATCCCTGAGGAGCGCCTGTGTTCATAATGATGGTGCTGGAGGAGTGTTTTTTCCGAGGCAGCCGTGTTGAGGTCTAGTGGTGAGGAAGCTCAGTATCCAGTTACACAGTGCAGAAGCCATTGTGAGGGAAAGATTGAAGATGTCAGTGGTTACACTGGTCAGCTCTGAAGCACAAAGCCCAAGTACATGTCCTGGGATGTTATCCGGACCTGCTGCCTTGCGTGTGTTCACTTTACTCAGTGACTTATAAACCTGTGTGGGGGTTAGCGTCAGTGCCCGTTCCCCCTCATCAGGAGTCACTTCCAGTTTTGTTCAGGGCTTCAAAACGTGCATAAAAGCGGTTGAGTTCGTCGAGCAGAGATGCAGAGCTGTTTGTAGATGTCCGGCCTTTGTAGTCTGGGATGTGTGCTAGGCCTTGCCACGTTTTCCTTGATTCATGTGCAGCATAGTAAGATTCCAGCCTGTCTGTAGGATGCTTTGGCAGATTTAATGCTTTTGCGAACATCATATCTTGACTTTTAGTAGGCTTCCGAGTCCCCAGTTTTAAAAGCCATAGCGAGCACATAGACTGTAATGTACCTGTGCAGTAACCCATGGTTTCTGATTTGGATATGTGCAAATGGTCCTCTGTGGTATGATATTGTATATGCATTTGCTGATATACGCTGGAACAGTTGATGCATATTCATCAATAGTGACTGTGGAGTCCTGTTGTATTGCTGCTGTTCTGAATACATCCCAGACAGTACATGCAAGGCAGTCTTTCAGTGTTTGTTCAGCTGTCTCAAACCACACTCTATGATTTTCCTTTAAAGAGCACTGTTTCAGCTTCTGTTTGAAGGTTGGGTATAGAAAAATTGTAATGTGGTCTGAGCATCCAATATGAGGTTGGGACTTCGCTTTGTAAACTCCCTTTAACTTTGTATACACGTGATCCAGTGTGTTCTGTTCTCTAGTAGGAATGTTGACATGTTGATGAAATTCTGGTAGCATATATATATAGTATGCACAAAACAGTACAATCCTTTAAATAGTACATATATATGTATATAAGACTGTCTTGCATGTACTGACTTGGATTAACGTAACATTTCAAAACATTTAAAGCAACATAATACAATGATGATTGAAAGATGAACCTGATGTGTCATGTTTGATACATTTCAACTTTATTTATTTATTTATTTTAAATCATGCATGGATCTTAGTAAACCTAAGTTGCTTTGGCTGAGTAAGTGTTCATCTTAAAATACTGTATTACTAACAATATAAATGTTATTGTTATGTTTACTTGTCTAAAAATCAGTAAAGATTTCAAAGCAAAAAAATATATATATATATATATCAACACACACAGGATACTTGAGGATCTTTGAAAACCCCATGAAATCAAGATATAGAATTCTAAAACCATATTGACACTGGTTCATGGATCACTGAGATCCAATCTTCTAAGCAACCAATGAGCAGCCCCATTGGCGGATTCTAAGTTTCATTGAACTGTTGTCCTATTCCGGTCTCCACAGGAAATTGTTAAAACAAAAACGTAAATTAATTAAACAAAAACGTTTTTGAATACTACTGGGATAAAAAAGAGCTCAAGGTCAAGCTAATAAAGGAATTTCTGGAAATTATTTGTTTTTAGCACCAGCAAACCAGTATGCATTGCATTCAATGTCAAAGACTGACGAGAGAAAACAAGCATGGCTTGCAACGCTTAAGTGAAAATACTCCCCAAAGAAGGTATATATACTGTATGTGTTCTTATCATTTTGTGGACAAAAAGTGCCCTAGTTTTCCGGCATGAGTCAGGAAAGAAAAACTTCTAGAGGAACCTGTGGAGAGTGCTTAGATTAAAATCTTCTTGAAAGTGAATACAAATCCATTTCATTTTCACCATCTGGTGACGTAAATGGGAGCAGGTGCATACAGCAGTAGATATCAGGGTATGCAGTGATTAAGATGTATAGAGGTGACCTTTAGAAAAGGACCTGATATAGGGAAAGCGCGAGCGAGTGAGGGAGGGATGGTGTTTCAGCAGCTGAGTGATCTATTGAAGGTCAGATCATTCAGTGTACTACTACTATTGAGAGCCTCTTTATATAGCTTCCCACCCACCAGACCCAGCCAGGCCTAAGGAGGGTCAAAATGGGACTGGCTTCACTCGGTTGGGTCTATGTTTGTGTAATGTTGGTCCTAAAGTTGATTTGTGCCTTCCTATAATCTTCCATTACTCATGAGCACTTCTATTTATCTAATTTTCTCTCACATAGACAAAGAAGTAATAATAAAAGGCATTAGAAGTGTGTCTTGTGCATGTGGCCCTGTCAATCATCTCAGTATGTTCCTCTGTTCTACACCATTCTCTGAATGGTGCGAGTGTGCATGTGACCGTACAACAGAGACCAGCCCCCTCTCTCACTCAACTACCTCTCTAATTCCCTCTGGTGGATCCAGCGTCTGCACTTCCAAGTACTTGGTCCAAAGATCTAAAGATCTTGGATCATTGAACCCCATAAGAAACCGCTCCTCTTGGGTGGATACGAACACATTTTTTATAAACTGACTGTATTTGTGTGAGGGAGCGACTGCAAGATGGTAGCTTCACATAGCTGGCTGTTGGGGCTTATCGTAGCTCTGCTTTGCACTGGACCGTTCAGGGATTCTGTGCAGGCTGAAGAAAGGCTGCGAAGTGAGGAAGCCGAGGTGCTGAGCGGTCTGGACCCTACAGGAGGTGAGAAAGAGGAGGTGGCTGATGAGGAGGAGGTTGGAGATGTATCTGAAGAAGTAGATGAAGACGTGGGAGGAGATGGGGAAGCAGAGGAAGATGAAGACGATGGAGAGGAAGCTTCTGAGGAAGAGGTGACACCAGAAGAGGAGATAACTAAGGAGGCAGAATCAGCTGAGGCAGAAGCTGAGGATGAGGCTGAAGAGGAAGCAGCAGAGGAAGAAGAGGAGGAGGAATACACAGAGGAAGAGGTAGAAGTAGCAGAAGAGGAGGAGGATACAGAGAAAGAGGAGGTAGAAGTAGAGGAAGGATTAGCAGATTGCATTCAATGTCAAAGACTGACGAGAGAAAACAAGCATGGCTTGCAACGCTTAAGTGAAAATACTCCCCAAAGAAGGTATATATACTGTATGTGTTCTTATCATTTTGTGGACAAAAAGTGCCCTAGTTTTCCGGCATGAGTCAGGAAAGAAAAACTTCTAGAGGAACCTGTGGAGAGTGCTTAGATTAAAATCTTCTTGAAAGTGAATACAAATCCATTTCATTTTCACCATCTGGTGACGTAAATGGGAGCAGGTGCATACAGCAGTAGATATCAGGGTATGCAGTGATTAAGATGTATAGAGGTGACCTTTAGAAAAGGACCTGATATAGGGAAAGCGCGAGCGAGTGAGGGAGGGATGGTGTTTCAGCAGCTGAGTGATCTATTGAAGGTCAGATCATTCAGTGTACTACTACTATTGAGAGCCTCTTTATATAGCTTCCCACCCACCAGACCCAGCCAGGCCTAAGGAGGGTCAAAATGGGACTGGCTTCACTCGGTTGGGTCTATGTTTGTGTAATGTTGGTCCTAAAGTTGATTTGTGCCTTCCTATAATCTTCCATTACTCATGAGCACTTCTATTTATCTAATTTTCTCTCACATAGACAAAGAAGTAATAATAAAAGGCATTAGAAGTGTGTCTTGTGCATGTGGCCCTGTCAATCATCTCAGTATGTTCCTCTGTTCTACACCATTCTCTGAATGGTGCGAGTGTGCATGTGACCGTACAACAGAGACCAGCCCCCTCTCTCACTCAACTACCTCTCTAATTCCCTCTGGTGGATCCAGCGTCTGCACTTCCAAGTACTTGGTCCAAAGATCTAAAGATCTTGGATCATTGAACCCCATAAGAAACCGCTCCTCTTGGGTGGATACGAACACATTTTTTATAAACTGACTGTATTTGTGTGAGGGAGCGACTGCAAGATGGTAGCTTCACATAGCTGGCTGTTGGGGCTTATCGTAGCTCTGCTTTGCACTGGACCGTTCAGGGATTCTGTGCAGGCTGAAGAAAGGCTGCGAAGTGAGGAAGCCGAGGTGCTGAGCGGTCTGGACCCTACAGGAGGTGAGAAAGAGGAGGTGGCTGATGAGGAGGAGGTTGGAGATGTATCTGAAGAAGTAGATGAAGACGTGGGAGGAGATGGGGAAGCAGAGGAAGATGAAGACGATGGAGAGGAAGCTTCTGAGGAAGAGGTGACACCAGAAGAGGAGATAACTAAGGAGGCAGAATCAGCTGAGGCAGAAGCTGAGGATGAGGCTGAAGAGGAAGCAGCAGAGGAAGAAGAGGAGGAGGAATACACAGAGGAAGAGGTAGAAGTAGCAGAAGAGGAGGAGGATACAGAGAAAGAGGAGGTAGAAGTAGAGGAAGGATTAGCAGAAGAAGAGGATTCAGCACAACAGATAACAGAGGAAGAAGAAACAGCCGCAGAGGATGAGGCAGAAGAGGGAGCAGATGAAGAGGAAGTAGCAGAGGAAGATGATGAGGCAGAAGGAGTAATAGATGAAGAGGAGGAATACACAGAGGAAGAGGTAGAAGTAGCAGAAGAGGAGGAGGAGGCAGAGGACGAGGAGGTAGAAGTAGAGGAAGGATTAGCAGAAGAAGAGGATTCAGCACAACAGATAACAGAGGAAGAAGAAACAGCTGCAGAGGATGAGGGAGCGCCAGGTGAGGAAGAGGCAGATGAGGAGAAGGAAACTGCTGATGAAGATAATGAGGAGGCTGGAGATGAAGGTGAAGATGAGGAGACCACAGATACTGTTGAAGGTAACTACTGAATTAATCATTAAATAGCCTTCACAATCAATGTTAAGTGATTTTACTTACACTGAAAACAGAAATATTTTTAGAGTATTTTTACGTGAAAAAAGCTAGGAAACAACTAACTCAGAAACTTCAAGTAGAAATTCTCAAGTAAATTTTACTGACACGTGAAGTTTTCTTAAGGATGATTATAAAAAATAATATTAATGGTAATACATACCGTATTTAAGTTCCTGAGTAATGTTTACTTTAACATATTACTTTAACATACTACTTACTACAACTCATCAATCATTAATACTGATAATGTACTTTATAAAAATGGTTAGTCTTCACCGCAAATGACACGTTCTAAAACATAATGCCTCTCAGTGAGTCTATGAAGTCACACATTCTAAAATAGCTCACTATATCAGAACAGCTACAGCAGCTGAAATATTCCAACCACTTTAAGTCCTTTCTGGCTGAATGTTGTTGACATGAACCTAACACATGGCGTATGTGTTACATATACTCGACTGTTTGGCCAACTCTGAAACCTAGAGTTTGTTATCAACATAAAATTCACAAGCACCAAAGTGCATTTGAGTTTTAGCTGCCATCTAAAAATGAACAAAGCATCCGTATCTATCTCAGGGGCAAATGTCAACTAGCTGTAAGATGAGTAAAATAATTCAATTTTTGCACCCATATGAAAGACACTTTGAGAAAGGGACACTATTTGTTGAGGCGTTACAAAAAAAAGTGAACAATTAAATTCCTTCACAATGGGCCCTTCACCAAGTCCTTTAGAGAAGGGACACTTCAAAGAAGTAATTGTATTTTTTATAGTCATGTGACCCAGGGTGGCAAGTCATTGCAATTCATTTTAATGCTAGATGGTGGGAGATTTTGAGTTAATGTAAACAGAATAATTCAAGTCGTCTTGGTTTGTTGTAATTACACACATTTTTAGCATTCATTTTATATAAATTTTCATAAACAAGAATAGTGTTTAATAGTAGATACATTAGATAAATGTGTCTACCTGCAGGGTCCAAAAATAACAAGTAATAAAAGCAGAAAGAGAACAGAACAGAAAGTATACATTAAGAAAAAGAAAGGACCAAGCACTGAAACCTGCACCCCAATGATTAGCCGAATGGTGCGAGTGTGCATGTGACCGTACAACAGAGACCAGCCCCCTCTCTCACTCAACTACCTCTCTAATTCCCTCTGGTGGATCCAGCGTCTGCACTTCCAAGTACTTGGTCCAAAGATCTAAAGATCTTGGATCATTGAACCCCATAAGAAACCGCTCCTCTTGGGTGGATACGAACACATTTTTTATAAACTGACTGTATTTGTGTGAGGGAGCGACTGCAAGATGGTAGCTTCACATAGCTGGCTGTTGGGGCTTATCGTAGCTCTGCTTTGCACTGGACCGTTCAGGGATTCTGTGCAGGCTGAAGAAAGGCTGCGAAGTGAGGAAGCCGAGGTGCTGAGCGGTCTGGACCCTACAGGAGGTGAGAAAGAGGAGGTGGCTGATGAGGAGGAGGTTGGAGATGTATCTGAAGAAGTAGATGAAGACGTGGGAGGAGATGGGGAAGCAGAGGAAGATGAAGACGATGGAGAGGAAGCTTCTGAGGAAGAGGTGACACCAGAAGAGGAGATAACTAAGGAGGCAGAATCAGCTGAGGCAGAAGCTGAGGATGAGGCTGAAGAGGAAGCAGCAGAGGAAGAAGAGGAGGAGGAATACACAGAGGAAGAGGTAGAAGTAGCAGAAGAGGAGGAGGATACAGAGAAAGAGGAGGTAGAAGTAGAGGAAGGATTAGCAGAAGAAGAGGATTCAGCACAACAGATAACAGAGGAAGAAGAAACAGCCGCAGAGGATGAGGCAGAAGAGGGAGCAGATGAAGAGGAAGTAGCAGAGGAAGATGATGAGGCAGAAGGAGTAATAGATGAAGAGGAGGAATACACAGAGGAAGAGGTAGAAGTAGCAGAAGAGGAGGAGGAGGCAGAGGACGAGGAGGTAGAAGTAGAGGAAGGATTAGCAGAAGAAGAGGATTCAGCACAACAGATAACAGAGGAAGAAGAAACAGCTGCAGAGGATGAGGGAGCGCCAGGTGAGGAAGAGGCAGATGAGGAGAAGGAAACTGCTGATGAAGATAATGAGGAGGCTGGAGATGAAGGTGAAGATGAGGAGACCACAGATACTGTTGAAGGTAACTACTGAATTAATCATTAAATAGCCTTCACAATCAATGTTAAGTGATTTTACTTACACTGAAAACAGAAATATTTTTAGAGTATTTTTACGTGAAAAAAGCTAGGAAACAACTAACTCAGAAACTTCAAGTAGAAATTCTCAAGTAAATTTTACTGACACGTGAAGTTTTCTTAAGGATGATTATAAAAAATAATATTAATGGTAATACATACCGTATTTAAGTTCCTGAGTAATGTTTACTTTAACATATTACTTTAACATACTACTTACTACAACTCATCAATCATTAATACTGATAATGTACTTTATAAAAATGGTTAGTCTTCACCGCAAATGACACGTTCTAAAACATAATGCCTCTCAGTGAGTCTATGAAGTCACACATTCTAAAATAGCTCACTATATCAGAACAGCTACAGCAGCTGAAATATTCCAACCACTTTAAGTCCTTTCTGGCTGAATGTTGTTGACATGAACCTAACACATGGCGTATGCGTTACATATACTCGACTGTTTGGCCAACTCTGAAACCTAGAGTTTGTTATCAACATAAAATTCACAAGCACCAAAGTGCATTTGAGTTTTAGCTGCCATCTAAAAATGAACAAAGCATCCGTATCTATCTCAGGGGCAAATGTCAACTAGCTGTAAGATGAGTAAAATAATTCAATTTTTGCACCCATATGAAAGACACTTTGAGAAAGGGACACTATTTGTTGAGGCGTTACAAAAAAAAGTGAACAATTAAATTCCTTCACAATGGGCCCTTCACCAAGTCCTTTAGAGAAGGGACACTTCAAAGAAGTAATTGTATTTTTTATAGTCATGTGACCCAGGGTGGCAAGTCATTGCAATTCATTTTAATGCTAGATGGTGGGAGATTTTGAGTTAATGTAAACAGAATAATTAAAGTCGTCTTGGTTTGTTGTAATTACACACATTTTTAGCATTCATTTTATATAAATTTTCAATAAACAAGAATAGTGTTTAATAGTAGATACATTAGATAAATGTGTCTACCTGCAGGGTCCAAAAATAACAAGTAATAAAAGCAGAAAGAGAACAGAACAGAAAGTATACATTAAGAAAAAGAAAGGACCAAGCACTGAAACCTGCACCCCAATGATTAGCCGATGTGACTTTGACACATATTCTCTCCAGGAAACCTTAGAGCTGACTAAACATAAATCTTTCAATACCTTGACAGAAAAGTTGACAGCACTAGTCTGTAGCTTTCAACTGTTGTAGGGTAAGTGTTGTGGGGTCATCCAGGCCTGCTTAAATATAGTGGGAAAGTAGCCAAACGCATTGATATGATAGAATGGAGTTGAAGAGATCTCTTGTACAAGATCCTGTGAATAGTCCGCAGGTGTCTGAAGTGTTGCTGATCTTGTTTCGTTAGTTAGTGACTTTGGCAGCAGAAACAAGTAAAGGAGAGGGAGGAGATGAGAGATTGATACTTGCTCAAGTCAGCGGTGATTCAGAGAGAATGACAGACAACTGGAGAAAAAGGTGTTAGAGAAATGTAAGAAAGCAACAAGATTATGGTTAGGTATACAGTTATGGGTGAGCCTGTTTGCTTGCATTGTGTGCTGCAGCGAAATATGAGGCCAGAAATTCTAGGAAGTCAGCTGGTTGAGGTTTGTCCCAGTGGACGTTAAAGTCAATACAGAGACATTGTGAAACTCTGGCAGTAGCAGTAATTGATATTCTAAGGATGTGTTTTTGCAGAGAGAAGAGAGGGGAATGAATTTCCAAAGTTGAAGACGGGATTGAGGGAGTTGCCATGTTGTCTGTGCAGATCCATGTCTGTCAGACCAAAACATTTTAAGAGGTTTGACTGACTGACCAAGGCTGGGATAAAGTCAGCCAACTGGCAGTTCCAACAGATATAGAAAGACTGTGAGTGTAGGTATCCTGGCGTGGACGTCTCCCTATAGTAAACAACAAGAAGGTAGTAAGATGGAGTATTAAGGAACGCCAGGGGTGCCCAATCCTGCTCCTGGAGGGCCACTGTCCTACAAAGTTTATCTCTTGCCTAGAAGTGTCTAGTGATCCTGCTTGTTTCAGGTGTGTTTAATTAGGGCTTGACCTAAGCTCTGCTGGAAGGCGGCACTCTAGGAACAGAATTGGACAAACCCTGCTGTAAGCCCGAGACACACTGCATGATTTTAGCAATCCAATAAGATCATTGCATGCCACACTGTTCCACATGGATCTATTAAACTTGACTACGATGCGTGTAGACTGTACGATGATGACACCAATGGACTCATACGCAACGACACACATTACTATAGAAGAATAAAACGTCATTAGCATGTGCTAGTGCTAAACAAAAAGACCATGATAAATCACACTTTAGCAGTCGTAGTTTTTATTTGTGTGGAAAAAAAGTGGAAGCGGCAAAAGAGGAAGGGATAAGAGCTTGAGGTAAGCAGTTTTAGCATTTTAACATGGGGAGTCTATGGGGCTGACTCCCTTTTGGAGCCAACCTCTAGCGGCCAGTCGATGAATTGCAGTTTTAGTCACTTCCGGAAGGACCGGTGGGTTGCCGCTTGGCGACGACCTACAGCCAATGAGAGAGCACAATACAGGGCAACTGAAAGTTCAGGGGGAGGAGTCATAATATACCTGCAACAGAACATCAAAAAGCAACCATTCTCTCCTTCATATTCTTCTTTTTAATTATTGATTTGTCACTGCAAATCACCGTATAGAAAACCTAGATTGCAATCTTTTTGCGGGCTGTTTTTGACAGCAATATTAAGATCTTTGTTAAACCTAATTTTTCTCTCTCTCTCT